TGATTGGATTTAGTACTGAAAATGGCTTGAAACTGAGCTCAGAGTAGCGGAAATGTTCAATTTTTGCCAATGTTCAAGAGTAAACAAATGACGTCACACGTCCAATACACATCAACTGGTGGGTCTGATATACATACGTTCACGAATGCGCTGATATTATTTATAAAATTATTACAATATTGCATAGCAGTAAATCTTTTATTTTTTGGTGCGAATAAAAAATCAAAATGGATTTCATTTGTAAAGCCTGGAAACATAACTAATATACAGAGGAAATGTTATTTTAGTGCCAGGAATGCCTGCATTGTTTATTCTGGACCCTATTTTGAAATTGGAATATTTTGAACTTTGTGTGAAATTGGCCAAATTACCAATTTCCAGTCACTTTATTGGGTAGTTGATTATTATTATTAATTATAATCAAGGGGGAAGCGCAAAACCCGGAGGATTATACAGCGCCTGGGGGAGGATGTGGAAGGCATTCAGGCTTAATTCGGGGAACTGGAGCACAGATCCAATTCCCTAAATCAAGAGCCCCTCACCAACATCAAGGAACCTTCCTTGAGGGATTGGGTAGTTGAAATAGTTGCTTGGGTGATTTCTTGTGCTCAGTTGATAAAATAGAAGTAATGCTAGTGAAATAGTTAAGAATTTGGTCGACTGGAATAATGTAATTGGCCTAAAATGGGAGTCAAAGTAGGCAAAATCGTCAATGCGTAAATATCGCTGACACAGCAAAATTCACGAGTGTAATTTCATCAATTTTCCATCAAATTTTGTACTTTTTGTTTTATTACCTTCAGAAAAAGATTCTCTACCACTTCATAAGAAAAAATAAAAAAAATAATGAAAACCCTGTGGACAAGTTTCAGATCGGGGGTCTGGACCATGAAAGGGTTAAGCTACCCCATACTTCTTCAACCCCCTCCTTACCAACCTGTACTCTTTGTAGCCCACCTTTCTCCCAGTAATTGCTTATATATTCCCCTGTCTCCTTTAATTCATTAACTTCTATTTTTTTTTTTTTTTTTTTTACACAGGGTTTGACAAGGTTAAGGATCCCTAGCTTTATTGACAAACTATTTACAGGTTAAGGATTCCTAACTTTATTGGCAAGCTAAGAGCTATTACCTACATCAGCTCATTTGAAAGCATTTATATTGTTATGAGACATACAAGTAGGGAACAGGATGAAGTTGGAGCCATCTGTGGGCCAGCATTTTCATGTGATCAACTGACTTTTCTCGTTGACATCTCAATGCGTACGAATGTGTTCATCTCAGTCTCCCGGTACAGTGGTCCCCGCTTTTCGTAGTTCCGGCAATCGTAATTTTTTGCCCAAACATAGGGGTATTTTTTATATAAAAAAAAGGGCTCGCTTTTCTAGGTTACTCAGAATTATTTGTCGGGGCCTCCCGGGGGAGCCCAAGGGGGGCCTCCCTACCCCGCCGTCTGCCCTTGTTTACCAGAGAGTGAAGGGCCCCTCAAGTGCTCCTAGAAATATTTCATAATATTTCACTCATTTTATGCTTGCAATTACTAAAAAAGCTACCCTGTCCAAGAAAGCTCCTAGTGCCAAACCTGTGGGAAAAAAAGGTGAGAAAAATGTACAGTGACAAAGTCTTGGGCCATTTTTTGGGAAGTGTTAAAGAGACGCCAGAAAAAGACTCTCTCCTTTTTGGCCTCTCCAAAAGTTACTTTGCAGAAGGACTAAGTGACCCTCAAGGGGGTCCTAGTGGCATTAAGAAACAGGGAAGAGAAGCAACCCAGAGAAGCAATTGGTACCGAGGTGTTGCTGGAAGGGATTCCCCCTTTCCAAACTGTAAACACCCAAACTCTCTTCCCCTCCAGTCCCCATACACCCAAAAAAATCTTCAATAAAGGGAAATTTGCTGTAATGGTTTATTATCATTTCCCATTGTATTGTTTATGTACTATATGTATATTTCATGTAAAAAATTTTTTTGTTTTAATACTTCTGAGTTTCAGGAACGGATTAATTGTATTTACATTATTTCTTATGGGGAAAATGGATTCGCGAATCGTAAATTTCGTTTATAGTAGCTCCTCCAGGAACGGATTAATTATGAAAAACGAGGGACCACTGTATATATGATCTCAGATGGAGTGATGTTCTGGAGAAGGGTACAGCCAGAGTGAAGTTGCTGCTTTCTGCCAGTCTTGTGGCATAAAAGCTTGTTTCACGCTGTCCTCGAAGTGGATCCAAGTGTGGTACTTTGACAATATTGGCCTTGTACATAACAGTAAGGCCACACACATCCCTCCTATGTTGAAGGCTCTGCTGAAATGACAGATTTATCCAGGATGGGTCCAGGCGAGAGATGAGACGTCTTGCTCTGTTCTCTACTCTGTCAAGCAGTCGCAGATGAGAGGGAGGGCAGGCAAACCAAGAAAGTGGAGCATACTCAAGGTGTGAGCGTACTTGTGTCTCGTACAGAATCTTGCAACCCCTACTGTCAAGCAGATGTGAGATACGGCGAAGTGCTGTAAGCTTCCTGGCTGCCTTGTTTGCAAGATTTACAACATGTTTCTTCATGGTTAGTTTGGAGTCAAATTTCACCTCAAGGATATCAGCTTCTTCTCCAGGTGCCAACACCCTCCCATTCATCCTTACTACTGCACCAGCATTACCATCATGGTGCCTAGAGACGATCCTCATTTGCATTTTCTCAGGTGCAAATGTTACTTGCCATCTATTTCCCCAAGCTGATATAGCTCTCAGCTGGTGAGTGATGTAGCTTAGAGCAGCTGGCATTTCTTCTCTTGGATAAGTGAATGTCAGTGTACAGTCGTCTGCATATGCATGCGATTCTGGGATAAGATGAAGAAGGTCGTTGAAGTAGACATTCCATAACAATGGTCCCAGTATGCTTCCATGTGGAACACTTGCCCCAATAGGATGTCTTGCTGATTCCATTCCATTGAAAACTACACTTAGAGATCTACCATGAAGGTAATCACTGAGGAGACATAACGTAGAGCCTGCAATTCCCAGTGCTTGAAGTTTTGCTAAGAGGCCCTGGTTCCACACCCGGTCGAAAGCGCTAGCAATGTCCAGTGCTACCACACAGCTGACTTTGGATTCATCCAGTGACTGGTGCCACTTAGTGGAGAGGTTTAACAACAGATCAGCAGCAGAGTAACCTTTCCTGAAGCCATATTGACGATCACAAAAAACTCTGTCATTTGTCTTGAGATTATTGTCTCAAGGAGCGTGCCAGTGATTGACAGGAGTGACACTGGTCTGTAGTTGCTGATTTCTGCTCTGCTCTTCTTTTTGTGAACAGGGACTACATTTGCCTCTTTCCATAGAGGGCCATTTCCACTGTACTAGGCAGTGCTGAAAGATGCGAGTTAGAGTTGCTGCTAGCTGGTCTGCACATCTCAGCAATCTTGGGCTCAACTTGTCTGGGCCCACAGCCTTTTCTTGGTCAAGCGATTTAAGAAGGAAATGCACCTCCTCCTGCCTTATTGTCACCACTGACAGCCATTCTGATGCCATTCTCCTTGTACACTATCTACCTCTTTCTGTAGCTACTACTAAATAGTGATCCAACATATCTGTTGCTCCTATACAAACATGCAAATCCAGGAGTCTGCCCATTAACCTTTCATTTACTAATTCATAGTCTTTATTGCTATCATTGTGCCTTATATCATATCTTATATATGTACTTATTTATTCTCTTCTCTTTCTTAATTATTATTATAATCAAGGGGGAAGCGCTAAACCCGGAGGATTATACAGCGCCTGGGGGGGGGATGTGGAAGGCATTCAGGCTTAATTTGGGGAACTGGAGCACAGATCCAATTCCCTAAATCAAGAGCCCCTCACCAACATCAAGGAACCTTCCTTGAGGGGTTCTCTTTCTTAAAATAAGTAGAATATTACCAATTAACAAACCCCTTCTGTACACAATTGAGTTAAAGGCCTCCATTATAAGTTACTACTAGCAAATCAAATTTACTTACTACACCATCTATAACAGACTCTCCACTTTAGTATTCAATTCCCCCACAATAATTACTCTCACTTTTCTTAAAACTCTGTAAAGGTTTTTTTTCCACCCCACCCCCTCCCAAAATCTCTCCACTATACAACTCTTGCCCCTCCCCCCAGGTGCATAAATGCCTGCTATAACCCACGTCTCACATCCCTCTTTAATTCTAACCCACATAACTCTTGAAATTATTTATCTTATCCTCCTCTTTTTCTTTCTCATTTAACATTACTGCAAGCCTTCTTTAGCTCTGCTTCCCTCATGTACACCCAAATTACTCTCATTTACTCCTCATATTTAATATTCTTCCACCCCCTTTTAGCTTTATTTTGCCAGGTGGTAGGATATTCAACTCCTTTTCATTTTTCCTATCATTTGTAATGCACCAACACATTCAAACAACCCAACTTCAAAGTTTCCTTCTTCATCTTTTAATTCATATAAAAGAAAGGGTTACTAGCTCAGCATTGTAGCTTTACAGAGGAAAAAAATCTAACTAACTACTCCATGGAAATGGAAGGAAACACTACAAGGACAAAAACTATTAAAAAATTTGAAGGAAACTCAAATAAGTGTTTAATACAGACATATACATGCTCAGTCACATGCATGTAGTATATAATGCATGTAAATTGAAGTAGCAAGATTTACCTGTCAATTTACATGTTTGTGAGAAAGAAAGAAATGAGACCATCAGTCCTGCTAGAGAGTAAAACAATTAACATGTTTCTCTTTCATACACCTATGGCAGGATTATAGTACCTATGTTCTCTAGCCTAATAACACATGCAAGGTGAAATAATTTTTCACTAGACATACATGCAGCTATTTTTAATATCTCTGATACCTGTATACTTGAAAGAACTTTCTTTGCATTAAGAGTTAAAATTAGAACTTGAAATATAGTAATTAATTGTGTAAGAGATAACAGTGTGGTATATAATTTGTAAACTTGACACAATTTTATATTTTTTTTAGATTTGTGGGCAAACGTTTTCTCGGACAGAATATTACCGTGAACACAAAAGAATTCACACAGGAGAAAAACCATACGAGTGTGAGATATGCAAGAAAACCTTTAGTAGATCAAGCAACTTATACACTCATATGAGAGTAAGTAATATATCTGTGGATATTGTATACTTTGTGCTGCTGTTTTCTTTCTCTTTGTGGCATTAATATATCTTGCATACTTTTAATCATCTTACCTATTTTTTTTGTTTTTCATATAAGGAAAATATTCATTGATGTGATATAAGGAAGAGGAGGAGGTAAAGAAAGAATTGTAAGAAGGGTTTAGAAAGAAAAATCCTTCTTTAAGGCAGAATTCTTTATAAGGTGGAAGATTACAGTTTTCTGTAATGTGTTGAGCCACACTGGCTGAGCTACCAACATCAAGGTAGGCAGTAATATTATTATTATAATCAAAAAAGAAGCGCTAAGCCACAAGGGCTATACAGCGCTAGGCAGTAATAAATAAATAAAACAAGTGCTACAGGGGGAATAACTTTAATAATAATGACAATTCTTTTTAACTCACAGCTCAGATGACCCTTCGAACTGCAACATCCCATACCTCCTTTGGAGTGTAGGCACTGTACACCTCAAGGACTCAAATACAGCTAACTGGTTTACCCTGAATCTCTCCATAAATGTTCCTTTGTTTACTTCCAAATATCTAAACACATTCATGTCCTTGTTTAGCTGTGTAACTTGTGTCATTCTTTTCAGGTCACAACCTGGTATCTTGCCTCATTGTTTCTAATTGTGCAAATTGATGCCTAATTCAGGCCATATGCTCATGCCATCTCTATCACATATGAACCACTTTTAAGCTTATTTAACATCTCAATTTTCTTCAAAACCAAGACTTTCATGCTTGTGCTTCTTTGCAATCTAGGATCATTCACATTCCTTTAATCACTGTTTTGAACACTATGTTCTTAACCCCTTAACTGTCCAAATGTAGATCGTTTTATTTTTCCTGCCTCCAATTTTGGCATGATTCATCAGATGCCTGGTCAGTATAGAATGGGTCTTAACACTTGGTGTGTACAGTATTAAAAAAATCTGGGACCACTTATTACCTTGTGGGAGCACCAGTTCAATTGAGCACCAGCTAGAGCAAACAGTGTGGCAAACACCAGAGATTCACTGATGTCATGTCGTATTAGCACTCCCCTTTTAAGAGGAAAGCGATGTTGACTCCGAGTTTAGTAGCTTTGAGATGGATGTGGCCATAAGTGGCTGAAGAAATATCAGAAACCTTGATAATAACACGTGCATCATTTGTGCAACATCCTTTCAATTTTGATACCACTGGTAGTGTCATCCTGCCAGAATGTCCTATAACCTATGCCCTAAGTAAAGAGAAACAAACCTGGAACGTGTGTAATATGTGTTCGACAGACTGGCTGGCTGATTGACTTTGGCTGTCTCTATCTCCATCTGTCTGTCTATCTGTCTCTATCTCTGTCTCACAGGTACACATAAATACAGTTATACATAGTGTAAATTACCTAGGATAACCCAAAATGTCCAGACAAAGTGCTATATTGTGCTTGTAGATATAAGGCATAATATATAATAAGCATGACTGGCAAGTAACACACATTTTCACTTGTTCAGGAATCAGATGTAATGATTCTGCATCGTGTGTAATACCTGTTCATGAGCAGTGCTCTGAGACAGAGAGAGAGACTAGCAGAAGAGACAGGAAGACAGATAAACAGAGACAGAGCTAGAAAAAGAGACAGACATGTTTATGCATAACAGTAAAAACAAATAAAGCCAAGGCAATGCACAATCATCAAATGTCACTCCACTGCTGCATTGTCAGCAGTGGAGTGACACTTGTTTTACATCATGCTTCAAGGAGTTTCATATATACTCCAGCATGTCTAAAACATTGCTAGGACCTATAAATACTTTGTATATATTTCTAGACAATAGTATGTGACCAAGGCAAGTGAAAATATTCACCTGTCAGTGTGTTTGTGACTATTTGAGTACTATTTCATTACCTAATATTAGTATCAGAAGACTGGCTATGAAATCAAAAGAACTACTACAAATTGTATTTTTTTTTTATTAGCACACTGGCCGATTCCCACCAAGGCAGGGTGGCCCAAAAAAGAAAAACTTTCACCATCATTCACTCCATCACTGTCTTGCCAGAAGGGTGCTTTACACTACAGTTTTTAAACTGCAACATTAACACCCCTCCTTCAGAGTGCAGGCACTGTACTTCCCATCTCCAGGACAGGACTCAAGTCCGGCCTGCCGGTTTCCCTGAATCCCTTCATAAATGTTACTTTGCTCACACTCCAACAGCACGTCAAGTATTAAAAACCACTTGTCTCCATTCACTCCTATCAAACACGCTCACGCATACCTGCTGGAAGTCCAAGCCCCTCGCACACAAAACCTCCTTTACCCCCTCCCTCCAACCTTTCCTAGGCCGACCCCTACCCCGCCTTCCTTCCACTACAGATTGATACACTCTTGAAGTCATTCTGTTTCGCTCCATTCTCTCTACATGTCCGAAACACCTCAGCAACCCTTCCTCAGCCCTCTGGACAACAGTTTTGGCAATCCCGCACCTCCTCCTAACTTCCAAACTACGAATTCTCTGCATTATATTCACACCACACATTGCCCTCAGACATGACATCTCCACTGCCTCCAGCCTTCTCCTCGCTGCAACATTCATCACCCATGCTTCACACCTATATAAGAATGTTGGTAAAACTATACTCTCATACATTCCCCTCTTTGCCTCCAAGGACAAAGTTCTTTGTCTCCACAGACTCCTAAATGCACCGCTTACCCTTTTCCCCTCATCAATTCTATGATTCACCTCATCTTTCATAGACCCATCCGCTGACATGTCCACTCCTCAAATATCTGAATACATTCACCATCTCCATACTCTCTCCCTCCAATCTGATATCCAATCTTTCATCACCTAATCTTTTTTATCCTCATAACTTTACTCTTTCCTGTATTCACTTTTAATTTTCTTCTTTTACATACCCTACCAAATTTCCCAAGATCACAGTGTCATCAGCAAAGAGCAACTGTGACAACTCCCACTTTGTGTGATTATCTTTTAACTCCACGCCTCTTGCCAAGACCCTCGCATTTACTTCTCTTACAACCCCATCTATAAATATACTGAATAACCATGGTGACATCACACATCCTTGTCTAAGGCCTACTTTTACTGAGAAATAATCTCCCTCTTTCCTACATACTCTAACTTGAGCCTCACTATCCTCGTAAAAACTCTTCACTGCTTTCAGTAACCTACCTCCTATACCATACACCTGCAACATCTGCCACATTGCCCCCCTATCCACCCTGTCATACGCCTTTTCCAAATCCATAAATGCCACAAAAACCTCTTTAGTCTTATCTAAATACTGTTCACTTATATGTTTCACTGTAAACACCTGGTCCACACACCCCTACCTTTCCTAAAGCCTCCTTGTTCATCTGCTATCCTATTCTCCGTCTTACTCTTAATTCTTTCAATAATAACTCTGCCATACACTTTACCAGGTATACTCTACAGACTTATCCCCCTATAATTTTTGCACTCTCTTTTGTCCACTTTGCCTTTATACAAAGGAACTATGCATGCTCTCTGACAATCCGTAGGTACCTTACCCTCTTCCATACATTTATTAAATAATAGCACCAACCACTCCAAAACTATATTCCCACCTGCTTTTAACATTTCTATCTTTATCCCATCAATCCCGGCTGCCTTACCCCCCTTTCATTTTACCTACTGCCTCACGAACTTCCCCCACACTCACAACTGGCTCTTCCTCACTCCTACAAGATGTTATTCCTCCTTGCCCTATATGTACATGAAATCACAGCTTCCCTATCTTCATCATCATTTAACAATTCTTCAAAATATTCCCTCCATCTTCCCAATACCTCTAACTCTCCATTTAATAACTCTCCTCTTCTATTTTTAACTGACAAATCCATTTGTTCTCTAGGCTTCCTTAACTTGTTAATCTCACTCCAAAACTTTTTCTTATTTTCAACAAAATTTGTTGATAACATCTCACCCACTCTCTCATTTGCTCTCTTTTTACATTGCTTCACCACTCTCTTAACCTCTCTCTTTTTCTCCATATACTCTTCCCTCCTTGCATCACTTCTACTTTGTAAAAACTTCTCATATACTAACTTTTTTTCCCTTACTACTCTCTTTACATCATCATTCCACCAATCGCTCCTCTTCCCTCCCACACCCACTTTCCTGTAATTATCAGAACATAAAAATTATATAAATTAAAAAAAAATGAGGAAAAAATAAGGTATATCAGCAAAGTTTCTGCAAGCGGCAGGACTCCATGTTGCCGTCAGGTGAGCATCCAGTGCCAGCTTCGCGGTCTTATATCTCGGTAAGTACTGGCCCTAAATTTTTTTTTTTTTGCCGTATTACAAACAAAGTTGCCCTTTTTAATTTATTTTTTTATTTTTTTTTTTAAATATTCGAAGCACTGGCAGTGAGAACGTAGATCTACTTTTCGCAAGTTATCGGGTTAATTGTCCACTTTTTGATGAATATAATATAACCTATGTAATATGTCAAGATATCTTATTAATGAAAATAAGATACCAGATATATTAAGTAAATTTCCTAAACTTGCTTGCAGTAGGTGAGCTGTAGATATAAATCCAGATGTAATCCTGTAAACTCTTTTGGGGCCTAGTTCCTAGGCCTTTTGTGTATCCATATGCTCTTGCACTATTGTCCACAGGATGGACAATAAACTAGCCACTTTTGTGGCAAAATCTAAAATCTAATATCATTCCTCTTGGGTGCCATGATTACTATCCAGAGATGGGATAATGAAAAGATCAAAAATCAAGTCACTAACTCATGCCATGTATGGTATTGGATGCATACGCATAGAGAACTCGGGTATGGGAGATTGTGTAAAATAGGTGTCCCCTGTAAGACAATGGCTTTGCCCATAGGCTTACTGTGAGATGAAGGGGACAGAACCCACAGCATGCCACATTTTCTCCAAAATTTACTCCATGTTAAATTACATACTGCATATTCAACAAAAATGTGCAGCAATTTTTCAGCTGTGTTAATGCAAAAGTATTAATAGATCATGTGTTAATCAATAGTCTACTTATTTATCATGTCTAATATTGTCTACTGAAATATTTTAAAGCAAGTATGTACATGTAATTTTATCAAGATAGCCAGATTTATTTAATACAACTACACTATGTCCTCTTCAAGGGGGGCTCCTTGGCGTGGTGAAGAGGCTCTTGGTCTGAGGAATTAGACCTGTCGGTCTCCTTCCTCAGACCGAACCTAATTACCCCCCAATCCCCCATTCCTTATCCCATCCTCCCCTTTTTCCTTTCCTCCTCCTCCTCCCCACCCCTCCCTTTTGCCCTTCCTTTTTGGCCTTTGGTTTTTTTTTTCCCACAGGCACGCTAGTTCCTAGGTAGGGGAAAGGGTACCGGGGTCCATCCCATTCCGTTGAGGTTCTTGGCGGTGGCGTAGTTTGCTGTGGAATCTGGATTGCCTGGGGATGTCCCGATCCCTCTCCAGTATCCCGGTGGGTGGCTTTGGGTGTCTCTCGGGCGACGGGTGTATCTCTGGAAGCCACCTTTCGGATTCCGGGGGTGGTGGCCGAAGGAGGTATGCTTTGTGGCGGATTTCCGGCCGCCCTCTCTTTTGTCCACCGAGGTAGCTCGGCAGATGTGAGGTTGCTATCCCGGATTGCCGGTTTACTGGCATGATGGGTAGGGTATGGCACGGGTTCCATGCTGCATCTGCACTACTTGCGGTGCCGAGGTCCTCTTGGGCGCGGAGGGAAATTTCTGGCCCTTTCGTTCCTCCTAGGAACTATCCCTCCCTGGTCCCCCCTTTTTTTTTTATTCTTTTTTTTTTATTTTTTTCTTTTTTTTTTTCTTAAAAACAAAAAGAAAGAAGTAACCTAACCATGGCAACCCTAGTCCATGAACCTGCTACCCCCAGGCCCCTTCTTGATACCGCACCCTGTTCTGACCCCGCCTCGTCTTTGGACCACTCTTCGGACACTCCTCATGCCTCTGTACCTCTTGCCGGTGCTGTTTCCTCCCCCACTTCAGGTACTGAGGCCTCGACTGACTCCTTCGATTTATCTGACCTTCGCTCTCCTCTGACTATGCTTCCGGCCTCTCCCTCTACGGTGCAGCAATTTTCGAATCGTCGCCCCGTTCCACGTCGGACCAACTCTGGTCCCACGCCCAAACGCCAACGACAATTACCTGCTGATGATACTTCTCCACCTTCTCGTTCTTCTCAGAAAGGATCGACACGTCCTTCACTACCTTTCCACGCTCAGTTTCAGACTGCACAATGGACTAAATTCTTCACTTTACGACCGACTTCCTCTACTGCCTATCTTTCTGACCACAGTATTGGCAAGGCACTCCTACGCCATGTTGGTAAAGATATTTCTTTTCGTGCTCTTAAGAGCGGTATGCGCATCATCACTGTACAGAATGCTACCCAGGCTCATGAGCTTTCTCATCTTTCCCATATCGATACTGTTCCTGTCACTATTGAAAAATATCATTCCCTCAATTCTTGTAGTGGTACCGTCATTCTGCCCCATACCATAGTTCAACAAAATTTCCAGACATGTGGCACTGACATTCTTGAACAGCTGGAACTCCAAGATCTCCCAATCCTCAAGGTAGACACTTACGTTCTTCCTGCCCGCGGGCGGAGACGATACCCTAGCAATGTGGCTCGTTTAACTTTTGACTGCCGTGAACTCCCATCCTCAGTTTATGTAGCAGGACATCGGTTACAAGTTCGAAAGGTGATCCCTACACTGCATCAGTGTAGAAATTGCTGGCGATTTGGCCATCCAGCGAAATATTGCAGATCTATCGCCGAATGCCCAGTCTGTGGTGCCGATGACCATTCTAATAGTACAGTGGACTCCCACATAACGATATTAATCCGTTCCTGAGAGCTCATTGTTATGCGAAATTATCGTTATGCGAATGAATTTTCCCCCATAAGAAATAATGGAAATCAAATTAATCCGTGCAAGACACCCCAAAGTATGAAAAAAAAAAATTTTACCACATGAAATATTAATTTTAATACACACAAACTGAAAAAGACATGCACAGTTACATGACACTTACCATTATTGAAGATCTGGTGATGATTGATGGGATGGGAGGAGGAGAGAGTCTTAGTGTTTAGAAGGGGAATCCCCTTCCATTAAGACTTGAGGTGTCGAGTCCTTTTCTGGGGTTACTTCCCTTCTTCTTTTAATGCCACCAGGACCAGCTTCAGAGTCACTGGACTTCTGTCGCACGACATATCTGTCCAAAGAGGCCTGTACCTCCCGTTCCTTTATGACTTTCCTAAAGTGGTTCACAACATTGTCAGTGTAATAGTCACCAGCACGGCTTGCAATAGCTGTGTTAGGGTGATTGTCATCAAAAAAGGTTTGCACTTTAAGCCACATTCCACATATTTCCTAAATCTTTGAAGTAGGCAACTTCTTCAATTTCTCTCTCCCCTCCTCCGAAGCAGTTTCCTCAGGTCTGGCCTCATGCTGATGAAGATGATCTAGCAGCTCATCAGTGGTTAGTTCTTCATTGTCCTCCTCCACCAACTCTTCCACATCCTCCCCACTAACCTCCAACCCCAAGGACTTCCCCAATGCCACAATTGATTCCTCAACTGGCATAGGATTCCCAGGGTTAGCCTCAAACCCTTCAAAATCCCTTTGGTCTACACATTCTGGCCACAGTTTCTTCCAAGCAGAGTTCAAGGTCCTCTTAGTCACTCCCTCCCAAGCCTTACCTATAAGGTTTACACAATTGAGGATATTAAAGTGCTCTCTCCAAAACTCTCTTAGAGTCAATTGAGTTTCTGAGGTCACTACAAAGCACCTTTCAAACAGAGCTTTTGTGTACAGTTTTTTGAAGTTTGCAATAACCTGCTGGTCCATGGGCTGCAGGATAGGAGTGGTATTAGGGGGCAAAAACTTCACCTTAATGAAGCTCATGTCCCCATAAAGTCGCTCTGCCACGTCTGTAGGATGACCAGGGGCATTGTCTAACACCAGGAGGCACTTAAGGTCTAATTTCTTTTCAGTTAGGTAATTTTTCACATTGGGGGCAAATGCTTGGTGTAACCAGTCATAGAAAAAGTCCCTAGTGACCCATGCCTTACTGTTTGCCCTCCACAGCACACACAAATTAGCCTTGAGGATATTCTTTTGCCTGAATGCTCTGGGAGTTTCTGAGTGATACACTAATAAAGGCTTCACTTTGCAATCACCACTAGCATTGGCACACATCAACAGAGTAAGCCTGTCTTTCATAGGCTTATGTCCTGGGAATGCCTTTTCCTCCTGAGTAATGTAGGTCCTGCTTGGCATTTTCTTCCAAAACAGGCCTGTTTCATCACAATTAAACACTTGTTCAGGTTTCAGTCCTTCACTGTCTATGTACTCCTTGAATTCCTGCACATATTTTTCAGCTGCTTTGTGGTCCGAACTGGCAGCCTCACCATGCCTTATCACACTATGTATGCCACTACACTTCTTAAATCTCTCAAACCAACCTTTGCTGGCCTTAAATTCACTCACATCATCACTAGTTGCAGGCATTTTTTTAATTAAATCCTCATGCAACTTCCTAGCCTTTTCACTTGTGATCACTTGAGAGATGCTATCTCCTGCTATCTGTTTTTCATTTATCCACACCAATAAGAGTCTCTCAACATCTTCCATCACTTGCGATCTCTGTTTCGAAAACACAATTGAACCTTTGGCAAGAACAGCTTCATTGATTGCCGTTTTCTTCGACACAATAGTAGCGATGGTTGATTGGGGTTTACTATACAACCTAGCCAGCTCGGAGACACGCACTCCACTTTCATACTTAGCAATGATCTCTTTCTTCATCTCTATAGTAATTCTCGCCCTTATTCCTGTAGGGTTGGCACTAGAAGCTTTCTTGGGGCCCATGGTCACTTATTTTGCAGATAAAATCACCAAAAACACTGTAATAATACGAAATGTTCCGATTTTATGCTTGGATGTTACTGCGGAGGCTGGCTGGTAAACAATGCCACCGGCGGAACATGTGAGGCTGGCTCAGGCCGCACATTAGACGCGTCTCGGACGAATAGCGTCGAGCGGGTTTTTTAGCGGTATGCGAGGCAAAATCTTAGCGATAAAATGTATCGGTATGCAGATTTAACGTTATGTGATGCCAACGGTATGCGGGGGTCCACTGTACGTTTCATTACAGTTTCTCTCCAGCATGCGGTCAACCGTGTTTCCAATTGGGCCACCACACATGGGTTTAAATATTCCAGCACTAAAACCCACCAAATTACTTTCACTAGACGCTCTGTCATCTCCGATCATCCTTTGTACCTCTATGGCTCCCGTATCCCTGAACGTGATACAGTCAAGTTTCTGGGCCTCTTTGACCGTAGGTTATCCTGGAAACCTCGCATTACCTCTCTGAAGGCAACTTGTCACAGCCGGCTGAACCTTCTTAAAACCCTTGCTCATCTTTCATTGGGAGTTGATCGTCGAACCCTCCTTCGCCTACATTCCACCCTCATTTTATCGAAACTTGATTATGGTGACCAGATCTATTCAGCGGCATCTCCTGCTACTCTCTCTAGCCTTAACCCCATTCATCACCAAGGATTACTTTTATACCTTGGTGCTTTTCGCTCTTCCCCTGTCGAGAGCCTCTATGCAGAAGCGAACGTTCCATCCTTATCCGATCGCCGTGATGCCCATTGTCTTCGCTACTATGTACGCTCTCATGATCTCCTCAATCCTTCCATTTATAGAATGGTCACTGATATTAGTAGACATTCTTTATTTGTTCGCCGCCCCTGTTTACTCCGTCCCTTCCCTCTTCGCCTTCATTCGCTCTTGTCTTCTCTTCAATTACCACCTTTCTATGTTCATGTAGCATCTCACTTTTCCCTACCCCCCTGGGAAGTTCCATCTGTTCGAGTCTGTTCTTTCTCTCTCCCTTGCTCGAAAGCCCAACTGTCTACGGTCGCTTCCCGCTCTCTTTTTCTTGACCACTTCCACTCTCATTCTCATGCCATTGCTGTATACACAGATGGCTCTAAGTCTTCTGACGGCGTAGGATTCACAGCAGTGTTTCCGGACAGTGTCGTACGAGGGCATTTACTATCTTCGGCTAGTATTTTTACTGCTGAATTGTATGCCATCCTTGCAGCACTTATCCGTATTGCATCTATGCCTGTGTCATCATTTGTGGTTGTCTCAGACTCCCTTAGCACTTTACAGGCTATACAGAAATTTGATACACCTCACCGCTTAGTCCTCCGTATCCAACTTTGGCTACGCCGCATCTTTACCAAGCATAAAGATATTGTTTTTTGTTGGGTCCCTGGTCATGTAGACGTACAGGGCAATGAACAGGCAGACACTGCTGCGCGGTCAGCAGTACATGACCTACCAGTTTCATATAGAGGTATTCCATGTACGGACTATTTTGCTGCAATATCTTCCCACCTTCACACCCGTTGGCAACAACGTTGGTCTACTATGCTCGGTAACAAACTTCAATCTATTAAACCGAGTATAGGTTACTGGCCGTCTTCTTATCACCAGTGTCGAGGTTGGGAGACTACTCTCCCGTCTTCGCATTGGCCATACTCGTCTTACTCATGGATATCTCATGGAGAGGCGCCCTGCTCCTCTCTGTGAGAATTGCCAGGCTCCATTATCAGTCAGCCACATTCTGTTGGACTGCCCACTTTATCAACGAGCACGCAGAATTTACCTCCGTCGTCATCTTCGCTCCGCTGCTCTCTCTTTACCTTCCCTTCTCGCTGATGGACCCACCTTTCATCCGGACTCTCTCATTGACTTTTTGACAACAACTGAATTACTTCACAAATTCTGATATCTTCAGCCCTTTCTACTTCAATCTCTTGCTACCCTCTACCCCCATACTATCCCCTGCCCCGCTGTTTTCTGTAACCTACTGATCATCCCTCCTCCCTTCTGCCACCCAATACCCTCGCTTCCTTCCCTACCCTGCAGCGCTGTATAGCCCTTCCCCTCAAGGAAGGTTCCTTGATGTTGGTGAGGGGCTCTTGATTTAGGGAATTGGATCTGTGCTCCAGTTCCCCGAATTAAGCCTGAATGCCTTCCACATATCCCCCCCCCAGGCGCTGTATAATCCTCTGGGTTTAGCGCTTCCCCCTTGATTATAATAATAATAATAATAATGTATAGCCCTTGTGGCTTAGCGCTTCTTTTTTATTATAATAATAACTACACTATGTATTTTATCTTATCTAGCAATAATTCTAATTCTCATATATTTTTCCTGCAGATCCACAACAATGAGGAGCAGCGTCATATTTGTAATGTTTGTATGAAGTCATTTGCTCGAGCTGATAAGTTGAAAGACCATATGATTCGCCATTTACAAATAAAACGATATGGTTGTCGCCTGTGTCCAAAGGCTTACAATGAAAAAAGAGATTTAACTAAACACCTGGAAAAAGTACACAGTGGTCATAATAGTCTTGATACCTGACAAGTTTTAAAAAGTAGGCAGTTCATATGTAACTATTTCTTATATGATGTGCATAAAGTCTTAAGTCGAATCAGTCTCAATAATTTATATTTTGTATTAAAAGAAATCATTAGAATAATTTACAAGTGCTGTAGTAGCTGAGCTGTTGTGATGCACATTATGAATTTTAAAATGGCAGATACAGCTTTGTATACTCTATATAAAGAAATCTCTATATAATAAAAAAAAAAAAATCTTTCATTCTTATAATTTATATTGGTGCCGGTATTTACATAATGACATCCACATTATTATCATAACTAAACACTAAACCCATAAGGGCCATACAGCACTGCAATGACAGCCACAAACCAACTGTATTCAGGCAGAATCTACTTGCCTGAAGGTTTTCTCATTTTTCTAATTAAAATATACCATAATTTAAATGTATTAACTTTACCAAGTCTTGACATTTCTGATTGGTTTAGCACTTAATTATAATAACTGACATTTCTGAAATTTTTATTTTTTAACACACCAATTATCTCCTACAAAAGTAGTGACACCCCAAAAAGAGGAAATGCATTCACCATCATTAATTCACTCAGTCCTACCAGAAGCTTCTTGACATTACAGTTCAGATGACTCTCCAACCTGTGACCTCACGACCCCTTAATGCAATGTATGTACTCTTATACATTTGCTTTTTTTTTTCTTTTTACAAACTGCCTGTATTTCACTAATGCAGGGTGACCTAAAAAGAAAAGTGGAAGTTTTTCTTTTTAGTAATTTTTATGGGAAAAGGGGTTACTAACCCCCTGCTCCCAACATTTTAGTCTCCTCTTATGACACGCATAAATGTATAACAGTATATTGATACCAATGCTCTTATATAGGTGTGAAGCACGGGTTGTGAATGTTGCAGCAAGGAGAGACTGGAAGTAGAAGAGATGTTCTGAGGGCAATGTGTGGTGTAAATATTATACGGAGAATTGTAGCTTGGAGATCAGGAAGTGCAGTGTTACTAAAGTACTATCTAGAGAGCTGAGGAAGGTTTGTTGAGGTAGACATTTAGACAGGATGGAGAAAAATAGAATGACTTGGAGGGTGTATAAATCTGCAGTGGAGAGAAGGCAGGGTAGGGGTCGCCCCAGGGTTGGAGAAGGAGGTAAAGGCAGTTTGTGTACGAGGGACCTGAACATCCAGCAGGTGCAATGTGAGTTAAATAGGAGTGGAGGCAAATGTTTTTTGGGACTTGACGAGATGATGGAAAAAGGTTAGCCAGACTTGAGTCCTGGAGATGGTAAGTACAATTCCCACACTGTAAAGGAGGGGTTTGAGATATTTGCTGTTTGGAGGGACATCTGAACTGTTGTATCTGCATGCCTCTGGCAAAACAGTGATAGTGCGAATGATAGTTTAAGTGTTTCTTTTTCGGGTCCCCCTACCTTGGTGAGAGATGGCCAGTGAGTTAACAAAAAAAAAAAATGGCTTTAACACCTATTCATAACTAGTTTTTTACATATTATTATAATCAGAGCAACACTAAAATTTTTTTCTTTTGCAATATTTTAATATTTGGGGTAATATTTTTACATCATTGATTTTCCTAGTACTGAACCCTAAGGTCTCATATTATTTTCAACCCAGTTCCTGTACTGAGAAACAGAGGTATAAATACCAGGCACATTCATTTGACCACAGAGTACTGGGCCATATGATACCACACCAATCTGCAGATATGGTGGACCTATGGGACCAGACATAATCAGAGGGCCACCCGAGTCTCCACTACAAGAATCCTGGCCACTACGTCCTCCTGCACACAGCTATAAGTGAGAGAAAATTATACATGTGTGTTTAAGAAATATACATTAGACATACATAAACATACATATATTATTGATTAGCAGTTTTCTGTGGATGAATATGACATAAATCATACTTAACCTAAACAGGTTGGTGTTATGAGGTGAAGCTTGCTTTCTTTCTTGTTTAAAGTTAGAAATTCGAAAGATACATTAATAGCTTCATTCAACACATCAAATACATTAAGAGATAAACAAGTGATGTGCAGGAAAAATTTCATAGCTGCCAAATCCACTAAACAATTGCAAAAAAGTAAATATGGCATAGCAGACAAAGGCCAACACCAACAACTTGAAGACAATTTCTTTGGTTTGTTAAAAACAGGAAATGGTATGAAAATTGGAAAAATGGAGTCACTTGAGCCATAAAACAAAAATAAAAAGTTAAACAAGTACTAAGCTCAAGTTAAAAGCAAATCATAGAAAAGATAAATCTGTGACCAATTAAAACTACAAGACTGCTGTATGACCTTTGTGTGTTTAGCACTTAAGTTTTTATTATTATTATGCTCAAAACAATCAAAAAAAAGGAAAGTTTTATGGCAGAATCTGAGATCACACAAAAGGAATTAAAAACAAAAATTTAAATAAAAACCAGACTATAGAATTCCAAAAAGTGGACTTGTAAATTAAAGATAAATGAGCTATGCAAATGCACAGCAAGACACTGTTAAGCCAAGGAAATGGAGCTATCTTCCCTATCCTTAGATAATATGTACATGACTGCCTCCAATTTCCCTGAAGATTTATGACCCCCTATGGGTTTAGCACTTCCCCTTAAATAAAATCAAATATGCAAATGAAGTTGGCCAAATAAAATGAGAAAGTGATAAAATATTCATGTGCTTAGCTGAAGGAAAAAGTCCACCTAGCTAACAAGTAGTGAGGACAACTGTAAATATACCTAAGCTATTGTAACTGTTATTGTACTGTTTTCAGCTGTATTAAACAAATTAAAAACAAAAGTGACAGTAGATACAGTACAACAAAATAGTGAGGTCACAACATATTTAGATGATTAAAATATTAATGGTATATGTGCCTGGAAAATTGCAAAGGTTAGTGGATGAGTTTGAGAATGTGTGTAAAGGTAGAAAGTTGAAAGTGAACATAGAAAAGAGTAAGGTGATGAGGGTATCAAATGATTTAGATAAAGAAAAATTGGATATCAAATTGGGGAGGAGGAGTATGGAAGAAGTGAATGTTTTCAGATACTTGGGAGTTGACGTGTCGGCGGATGGATTTATGAAGGATGAGGTTAATCATAGAATTGATGAGGGAAAAAAGGTGAGTGGTGCGTTGAGGTAAATGTGGAGTCAAAAAAAAATTATCTATGGGGGCAAAGAAGGGAATGTATGAAAGTATAGTAGTACCAACACTCCCTTTTATGGATGTGAAGCTTGGGTGGTAAATGAGGAGCGAGGAGACGGTTGGAGGCAGTGGAGATGTCCTGTCTAAGGGCAATGTGTGGTGTAAATATATGCAGAAAATTCGGAGTGTGGAAATTAGGAGAAGGTGTGGAGTTTAAAAAAAGCATTAGTCAGAGGGCAGAAGAGGGGTTGTTGAGGTGGTTTGGTCATTTAGAGAGAATGGATCAAAGTAGAATGACATGGAAAGCATATAAATCTATAGGGGAAGGAAGAGGGTAGGGGTCGTCCTCGAAAGGGTTGGAAAGAGGGGGTTAAAGGAGGTTTTGTGGGCGAGGGGCTTGGACTTCCAGCAAGGGGTGCATGAGCGTGTTAGATAGGAGTGAATGGAGACGAATGATACTTGGGGCCTGACGATCTGTTGGAGTGTGAGCAGGGTATATTTTTGTGAAGGGATTCAGGGAAACCGGGTTTTTTTCTTATATAGTCGGACTTGAGTCCTGGAAATGGGAAGTACAATGCCTGCACTTTAAAGGAGGGGTTTGGGATATTGGCAGTTTGGAGGGATATGTTGTGTATCTTTATACGTATATGTTTCTAAACTGTTGTGTTCTGAGCACCTCTGCAAAAACAGTGATAATGTGTGAGTGTGGTGAAAGTGTTGAATGATGATGAAAGTATTTTCTTTTTGGGGATTTTCTTTCTTTTTTGGGTCACCCTGCCTCGGTGGGAGACGGCCGACTTGTTGAAAAAAAAAAAAAAATGTGCCTGGGGATCTACTGCACCAAATCACCTAAATACCACTAATAACCCAACAAAAAGCTGATATGCAAACTATTACCCATTCCAATGCCAGTCAACACACTCCCCCATTCATTAATCCTTCTTTGGCATCTCCCATGTCCGACTCAGCCTATGCAAAACTCAGTGTGCATAAAAGGCCCTAGGATCTGGCATTAATTGCTTGAAGTATCAAAAGGTCCCCTATCTGCCAATCAATTCAACACTATTGTTAAAAAAGCACCTCATCTTCCTAACATAACTGAAACAGTAATATGCTATGTCAAAACCAGCTAATCCAATTCTATCCCTATTTTTCCAATCTTCCTTCAATTCCCATAGATAACAGGTAACACATCTTGTCCCACTGTGACCACCATTGTTTTGTTTTATTACATGCAAGCTACATCATTTGTACCGAATAAAGAAATACAAATTGTATTGTATTGAACGAGAGGTTTTAAAACGACAGAAGTGATATAAAAAAAAGGAGGACAGAATATATAAACAAGATTAATAGAGTGGTTACAGTGTAAAAGAAAAGCCAATGAGAGTGTGTGAGGTTTTATCAGCAAATTTTGCTGAAAATAAGACAAAGTTTTAGGGTGAGACAAGTAGGCTGAGACAGCCTAGAAGAAATGTTATACTGTAGTTATAAACAAAAGAGGGGAGTTATTAGATGAGGGCGATGGTACTGGGGAGATTAGGGATATTCTGAGTTGTTGAATGTTGAAGAGAGAGAGGAAGTTACTGAAGACAAATGTTTAAAGCAGGTGGTGATATAGATTTGGAATCATTTGTGTATTTGTTCAATATGTGCATGAAAGGGGTAAAGATACCAAGGAATTGACAAAGGGCATGTATAGTTTCTTTTATATAAGATAAAAAAAAAAGGATAAGATAGAATTATTGGGAAATAAGCCTGTTAATTATACTGGGTAAAGTGTATGGAAGTTATTATTAAAATAATTAAAGGTGAGAGAGTAGGACTGCAGATGAACAACATTTAGGGAAGGGCAGGGGATGTGTAGACCAAGTGTTTTCATCAAAACATACAAGCTAGGAGTACTTAGATAAGGATACAAAATGCTTCATTTAATTTATGGATTTAGGAAAGGTACACAACAGGGTGGATAAGGAAGAGTTCTTATGCACAGTGATGCTCAGGTTAGAGTATGTAGGAGGAAGGGAGACTATTTTCCCAGTGAAAATCAGCCTTGGACAGGAATGCATTATGTCACCATACTTGTTGATATATTTATAGATGTGTTTGTAAAAGAAATGAATGCAAAGAGGTGTGTTATTAAAAGATGTTGGACCTGATACAAAGAAATCGTAATGACATGATTGCAAACAAACCTGGGCCATCACGATGATGGCTTTGAGGGGACTTGAGCTAGAGTTCATCATGGCTATGCTGGTGTGAGATTCATCTGTAAAAACTTGCATTTGTGGTCACAGTGGTGCCTACACCTTCCTATGGTGTATAAATATGTCTAGTTGGATGAATCTTATTGTAGCCAGCTGGCCCAGTGACTAACGTGTCGGTCTGGAGTTTTACAACTCACTCAACATTCAATCCCTGCCCGTACCGTGGTTTGTTTGAATTGTGTCATTACAATTTCTTGAGACAAAGTGGGAATTATCACAGTTGTTCTTTGATGATGGTTCTTTTGGGGGATTCTGAAGACAAGTTGCAAAGACTGGTGGACAAATTTGGGAGGGTATAAAAGAAGAAAACTATAAGTGAACATAAAAGACAAGGAGAAAGGTGGTGAGGATAACTAAACGTCTAGGCAGTGGTAGACTGAATACATGTATCAGACTGGAGGTAGGAAGTATAAAGTTGATCTACTTTAATATTTGGGAGAAGGCTAGAGACAGTGGAGATGTCACATTTGAGAATGACGTGTGGTGTAAATATCATGCAGAGAATTCAGTGTGTAGAAATTAAAAGTATTATTCAGAGAGATGAGGAGGGAATGTTTGAAGGTGGCTTGGGCATATAGAGATGATGGAAGGATAGGATGACAAAAGTGTATTAGAGGTAAAGGTCATCCCGGGAATGGTATAAGGGACGAGGTAAAGGCGGCTTTGAATTTTAGGGGCCTGAACATTCAGCAGGCTTGTGTGAACATGCTAGAAATGAATTCAGACAAATGTTTATTTTTAATGGATGTACTGTTGAAGTGTCAGCAATGTATTTATGAAGTGATTCAGTAAAACTGGTTAGACGTACTCAAGTCCTGAAAGTGGGAAGGGCAGCACCTGTACTCTGAAAGTGTTACGGGCATGCTTTAATTCTCTGAGTCACCCTGCTTTCATAAGATATGGCCAATGAGATTTAAAGAATTAAACCCTCAAGGGTCATTCACCTCCCGGGAAAATGAGAGGCAATCAAGTTCAATCCAAGGAGAGGGAAGTCCAATTCCTTGGATCAGGAACCCCTCAGACATCAAGAAACCTCCCTTGAGGGGATGAATTTATACAGTGCATGTAGCTTATTACTTACAGTATATACAGTATTCAAAAAATTTATACACAATTAAACATGCCTAACATTATAATTAAAAAATAGACAAAATGTTATTACTGTACTATTTACCTGTTCATCACTAAGTTCTCCTTTGTAGGTAGCATTACACAGTTCTTTATCAACAATGGGCAACCCGACATGAAGCATCCTATTACTAGCAGTCCCCTTCTCAGTGATACCCCAGCCAGCTGCCCAAGCACCTTGTCGAACACTTATTCTCTGAATATTAAGGCCTTGAGGTGGTAGACATATGGCCCTAACATTTCCTGCAGAAAATCAATTCTGAATTACACTTAATTCTAACAATAATAATTGGTTGTATATTCTATGATAACTTATTAATAACATAAGGAAAATATCTTTAAAGGCTAATGACAAAATATGACTACTGTAATCAGACAGCCCTATAGGGTGCCTTGAAGTGTTTGCCTGATTTTTTTTTTTTTTCCTTCTAACAAGGTTTATAACATGACAACAATTCATACAACTATTGGCATGTAGCATCCAGCAGGGTTGACATGCTATTGGAGTGTGAGCTAGGTAACATTTCTGAAGGGATTCAGGGGGGTCCTGGTAATGGTAAAGACAGTGCCTGCACTTTGAAGGATGGGTGGAGGATGTTGCAATTCGAGTCATTCGGCCTTTAGGGTCTGCACATTTCTCCCAAAATAGCTACTGAGTAATAACAAATGCATTTCCTATTCCAAGACACTATACAGAGAGTCCTCTAATTAACATACTAACAGGTGTGAGGGGGGTGCACAATATTGCCAGTTGTCCATAGACTCCGAATTATGAAATTAATTTTTCATGTCTGTAACAAACCGATAAAGTTCTGAATCAGCGGACTTAGGATACAGGTATTGTAACCTGTAAAACAGTGCAGTATGGTACTATACAGGTACAGTACTGTATTATAAATACAGTACAACATAATACTGTACAGTAATTTTATTGTATGTACTTTACAGTGATTTTATTTATCTTTTTGTGATAGAGAGAGAACTTATAAACTGTTTCTTAAGACCATATTCAAACAAACTTTATAAAGTGGAGTACAGTAAATTATATAATTGCAGTGTTTGACATTTGTAACTGATTTATAGAAACCCCTTGTTATGAAGAGCATTTCAGGCAACTCTAAAACTAAATTATGATTACAATAAGACCCCTGTATCCACAGGTCCAGTATCCGCGGGTCCGGTATCCACGGTTTCAGTTATCTGCAGTTTACCATGGCCAAAAAATAACCCTTAATTTTGCAAAAGTAGTGATGGTGGAAGTTCTTCAAAGCCTAAGAGAAGCTGTGAAGTGCTTTCCGTCAGTAAAAAAATGATAATTCTCCACTTATTGTGCATAATTTATCAATTAAACTTTATGATAGGTATATACGGAGTTAGCTACTATCAGCAGCAGGACCATGGAATGTATCCCCCCCTGGATACAGTGGTCCTACTGTACGTAGCTGCTAAGATATTGCAGGTATTTGGTAATTCAATAAAAAAGTATAATTAGTTATATATTAAGGGTGAAGCTAGATACATGAGATGAAAGAATGATAAACAAGAATAGGAACATTAAAGGTTGAAAGAAATGTTCAGTATAACAAATTGTTGTTAGAATCACATCAAGGAAAAGTGTTTTTTAACAATTGCTTTGCTGGCAGATATAGAGACTCAAGTTTTCTGGGAAAGAGTTCCAGATTTTAGGTCTTCTTATTAACATTGAGTTTTTGTAAAGATTAAGCAGGATGCTGGGTATATCATAAAGATTTGTGTGTCTAGTATTATGCTTATGAGTTCTGTTGCAACCATTAAGAAAGAAACGGGTCCTGGATGTGGACACTCTGGCCAGTGAAGCATAATTGTCAGAAAACAACCAGACTCTTGCTATGGACAAAATCCAGAATTGGACTTTTCTATTTTTGCCCAATAATGTCAACATTTATCTGGCCAATTTTTTTTTTTTGTCCATAATTTCTAAAATCCATTAAATCTTTCAGGGTCAAGACCCCTGATCTCAAACTTGCTCTCAGGGTTGAAGAATTAACCCTTTGAGGGTTTTGGTCGTACTAGTACGTTTTACGCGTAGGGGTTTTTGACGTACTAGTACTCATAAATTCTAGCGGCCTCAAATCTAGTGGGAGAAAGCTGGTAGGCCTTCATATGAAAGAATGGGTCTATGTGGTCAGTGTGCACAGTCTAAAAAAAATCCTGCAGCACACAGTGCATAATGAGAAAAAAAAAACTTTGACCATTTTTTTTTAATAAATCAGCGACTTTGCAGTGTATTTTCGTATGGTATTTATTGTTGTATTCTAGTTTTCTTGGTCTCATTTTATAGAATGGAAGACATATTAAAGAAATTGAGATGATTTTGACTGGTTTTACAATGAAAGGTGCCTTGAAATTGAGCTCAAAGTAGCAGAAATGTTCGATTTTTACCAAACTTCAAAAGTAACAAATCGTGCCAAGCGTGCAATACACGTCAACTGATGAGTCTAATATTCTTATACAAGTGCACCAATAATATTATACCATTTTTTACACTAATGCAGTAGTCTGCATAACAGTAAATCTTATATTTTTGTGAGAATAAAAATTCAAAGTGGAAAGCAAAAGAATATAAGAGGGGCCTTGAGACGTGACTAATGACTAGAGGAAATGTCATTTTAGTGCCAGGAATGTCTTTCTTGTTTATTCTGGACCCTATTCGGAAATTGGCATCTTTTGAAATTTTTGTGAAATTGGCAAAATTGCTAAATTCTGACCACTGTACTGGATAGTTGATTTATAAATGGGTGGTTTCTTGCACCCATTCGATAGAAAAAATGGAGTTCTAGCGAAATATTCATGTTTTTTGTCGACTAGTACAGTGAAATTGGCCGAAAATGGGGCTCAAAGTGGGCAAAATCGCCGATGCGTAAATATCGCTGAGACCGCTAACTTTGCGAGAGCATAATTCCGTAAGTTTTCTCATATCAAATTTCAAACTTTTGTTGTCTTTATGATCGGAAAAGATTCTCTATCTTTTCATAAGAGAAAATAATTTTTTTTTTGTTTTTAAATTTGGCCGACCCTGAGAACGAGTTTCGGAGAGGGCCTGTCGACCCTCAAAGGGTTAAAAAAAAAAAAAAAAAAAAAAAAATTATGATATAGAATTTTTTTCCAAAATTAATGAAACCAAAAGTACGAAATTTGATGGAAAACTTACGGAATTACGCTCTCACAAAGTTAGCGGTCTTGGTGATATTTACGCATTGATGATTTTGCCCAGTTTATGCCCTATTTTTGGCGAATTCCATTGTTCCAGTTGACTAAACTCATAGCTCTTTTGCTAGTATTCCTTCTATTCTACTCATTGAGTACAGTGGCCCTCCCTTTTCATTGGGCTCTGTTTTCGCAAATTTCAGTTATCGGCAACTTTTTTTCATAAAAATATTGACTCAGTTTTCGTTACTTTCCTCTCTTCTCGTCAGTGGTATGGTACCTGTCCAAGTGCTGCACGCACACAAAGCCTCCCACACACGCATTCTGAGGCAGTGTTGCTTTGTTTCTCGGTTAGTAAACGTTATCCTGTGAGGTCACAGGAACACTTTGTAATAATTCATTGTTTTTTGCACTTGTTTATTCTGTGCGACTACTATATAAGCCACCATGGGCCCAAAGAAAGCTGCTAGTGCCTGTCCTTTGGTAAAGTAAGTGAGAAACACAATAGAATTAAAGAAAAAGATTGTAGAAAAACACGAAAGTGGTGGTGGAAGAGGGTGGTAGTGATGGTGGTAGAGGGTGGTAGTGATGGTGGTAGAGGGTGGTAGTGATGGTGGTAGAGGGTGGTAGTGATGGGGGTTTAGAGGGGTAGTGATGGTGGTAGAGGGTGGTAGTGATGGTGGTAGAGGGTGGAGTGATGGTGGTAGAGGGTGGTAGTGATGGTGGAAAGGGGGTTTGGGTATGATGGTAGAGGGTGGTAGTGATGGTGGTAGGGGGTTTGGTAGTGATGGTGGTATGGGGGGTAGTGATGGTGGTAGAGGGTGGTAGCGGTTGTGATGGTGCAAAGGGTGGTAGTGATGGTGGTAGAGGGTGGTAGAAGTTGTGATGGTGGTTAGGGTGGTAGTAATGGTGGTAGAGGGTGGTAGTAATGGTGGTAGGGGTGGTAGTAATGGTGGTAGGGGTGGTAGTAATGGTGGTAGAGAGTGGTAGTAATTGGTGGTAGTAATGGTGGTAGAGGGTGGTAGTAATGGTGGTTAGTGATGGTGGTAGAGGGTGGTAGTGATGGTGGTAGGGGGGGGTAGGTTGGTGGTAGAGGGTGGTAGTGATGGTGGGTAGAGGGTGGTAGTGATGGTGGTAGCGATGGTGGAGTGATGGTGGTAGTAAAGGTGGTAGAGGGGGTAGTGATGGTGGTAGAGGGTGGTAGTGATGGTGGTAGAGGGGGGTAGTGATGGTGGTAGAGGGGGGTAGTGATGGTGGTAGAGGGTGGTAGTGTTTGGTGGTAAGGGGGTAGTGATGGTGGTGAGGGGGTTAGCAGTTGTGATGGTGGTAGTGATGGTGGTGAGGGTGGTAGCAGTTGTGAGGGTGCAAAAGGGGTAGTGAATTGGGGGTAGAGGGTGGTAGCAGTTTGTGATGGTGCTAAAGGGGGGTAGAGGGTGGTAAAAGGAAAGTTGTAATGGTGGTAGAGGGTGGTAGTAATGGTGGTAGAGGTGGTAGTTTGGTGGTAGAGGGTGGTAGTAATGGTGGTGAGGGTGGTAGTGATGGTGGAAAGAGGGTGGTAGTTGTAGTGATGGTGGTAGTGGTTGTGATGGTGGTAGTGGTTGTGATGGTGGTATTGGGTGGTAGTGATTGTGGTAGAGGGTAGAGCTGCAAGAGGTCTCTGGACATTTTTTTTTGTGTGACAGGGGTCCAGTGACTCTCAAGCTGGTCTTAGTGCCATTAAAAAACAAAGAAGGGAAGTAACCCAGGATAAGGACTTGGTACCTGAAGTCTTTATGGATGGAGATTTCCCTTCCAAACAATAATCAGTCCTCCCTCTCCCTTCCTCCCTGTCTTCCATACATCAACAAGGTCTTCAATAAAGGTAAGTGTGATGTTAAATGTTCATTTATACATGTTATTAGTGCTTTATAATATATTTATCATTCTTTTCTGCATGTAAATCTATATTTAATCTAAAAAAAATAGCTTTTGTTAATACTTTTAGGAGTCTGGAACGGATTAATTGGATTTACATTATTTCTTATGGGGAAAATGGTTTCAGTTTTTGTCATTTTCAC